TCAATGAGAGTGGACTTTGGCCTCCATGGCCCACTGTGGGCGGCCCTTCAACCAGATTTGGGGAGGGAAGGGTTTTAGTTCCGGAGGTAGATGGGCCCCTATCTTGGGCCCGAGACTTGTGTACCCGCCCGTTGACCTCGTGACACAAGGTCCCATTAGTCTTAGGAGTCGGACCCAACACTCCCTTACCTCTTTCCACCTCTGAAGGTCCTCCAACATTAACCTTCCTTTTTTGCTTACGATCCTTTCCCGATTTTCTTCCTAAGGTGTGGTCTATTCTAACCATTGGCGCGGTCTTACTTCTCGGTGGCTCCTCTTCCGGGTTGGGCGTTTCCTTATTATACACCTCTTAATTGGTTAAGAAAAAAGAGCAATTAATTAGGCCGAATTGACGACTCCTCTTAATTTGCTAATTTGGCTCTGCTGTGGATTTTGCCGAAACAACTTCTGGCTTGAGCTTTAAGAGAAGTACTTTTCAAAAAAATCAGTTCAGTGTTTGGTTGAAAAACTATTTGAAGTGCTTTTTAAAATGAGTGGTGGTTGTATAAAATTACTATAAATGACTTATAATCTGATTTTAGATTTCTTTATATTAAATAATATTTTTATATTTAAAATAATATAAATGAAACAAAATTATATTTTCTGAAACAAAATTAAAATATGGTAATGATAATCTCGTATTTTCAAAACAGCTTTTTGCAGAAGCTCCAAATCTGAGCTTCTGTTTTTGTGTTATACAAAAACACTTTCGACTTTTCAAAAGCCGAGCTTTTAGAAGTGTTTGGCCATGCTTCAACTTTTGAAGCTGAAAAGCACTTTTTAAAGTCGGGACAAACGTAGGCAATACACGACATAAATTAATGGAATTGATTAAGAAAGAAACTATTTTCATGATGGTTACTGGGGTAGGAATGGTAATGGACATGTCGGGCGGGTAACTTGATACCTATACCTGCCTCATGCAAGTCGGGTTTATGTTGGGTAATTTATCATGGGGCGCGAGTCGGGGCAGGTCAACCCAATGGATATGTAATTTACATGGAAAATATTAGAAATATTCGTTATTTTCATTGTAAGACCAAGAAAAAACCATAATATGGTAAATGTAACAAACCATAATATGGTAAATGTAGTTAAATTTTAGAGAAATTGAGCTTTTCACTAATTTACAACTTTATTATAGGTAGAATATTTTGTTATAAAAGGAAAATCCTAAGTAATTTGACTAATATTACAAGTAATATAGACAAAAATGATCGAGAATGGGGGAGGTTAGAACAGGTCAGGTAAGTAAAAGTACCCATGCCCGCGCCTTAAGGAGGGTTTTCATGCTTCATTATTAATGTCAAGGAACTCAACTCTCTCTTACTTCCTGGGACTGGAGGGAGGTTATTGAAACTCCATTTCGGCATATTTGGGAAGGCGATATTCTTTTCCCCATTTCGTTTGTTTGTTGATGCCTTTATTTCATGATGGTGTCGAAAACAAGATAAAGGTTTTGAAACCTTTTAGTATTGAGTAGGGTTGGCTATTTTGTCCGGGCTTTTTGTTTTACCCGAAACCAGACCGTATAACTCGGACCAAGACCGGATTCGAGGTAAAAACCAGTTTTGGACTGAACCGAAAACCATATTAAGACCGGATAAGAGAGCCCAACATCCAAAAATTTACCTCCTCACCCTTTCAGGCCTTAGGCCACTCAAATCCCCTCTCAAGCCACTCAAATTCCCACAAGGTCAATCTAAAATCGAAAACAAATTGCGACCAGACCGGTTCAAGGCCGACCGGATCAAGACTGGACTGTATCCAATCCAATCTTTGGTCCTTATATTCTCGAAAGGATCAGACAGGGATGGGTCATGTGCTAGATCCTATTAGTGACATTACAGATTCTTTCATAATGGAACTCATGGCGCTCAGAGACGCTGTTCGTTGGTGCCTTTTGCATTCTCTTTCTAATGTTGCATTTTGGGGTGATGCGTCACAAGTTTCAGGGGGGAGCCATCCTCAGAGAGATTCTTGTACGGGTCTTCTCGTTTTAGTGTGTCTCGTTTCATTTCGCGCCTCATAGGTATAACAAAGTTGCCCATATCGTGACAAAAATGGTTCTCTTATCGTTGGATCGGCTTCTATTAGAACGGCATTCCTATGTTTTTCCTTTTTTTTATTAACCTGAAAAAGTTTGTTGTATTATATTGTATATTATTGTCCTTTTCGGGATATTTATGGAAAAAAAAACTATAGCTTGCATTGTGAATAAATCAAAATGCGCCGATGGTTGTTGTCTTTCATTCATTGGTGATCTTCTTAAAATTGACAATCCACGAAATAACATCCACACAATACAAACTAACCACGCATAGACCACGTTTTCACTTTTCTCGCCAAAGAGCTTTGCATTTTACATTTTACTTATTACTAGACGGTGATGCCGCGTATTGTCGCGGGACGCAGATGGCCTGTGGGCATGTATTATGTGGTCCGTTATAGTGTTTTGTTAGTATTATTAGATTAAAATTAATTTTTTATTAGTAGTTTTGTTAGTAGTATTGACTGAGAAGAGATATATGGTCAACATCCAATTTAACTTTTTTGAATTTTTTGGCTAATAATTGATATTTACCTAAACCTAAGTAGACTCATTGATTATGGGAAGGAAATGGGTGACTTATATATGAGTTTGGGTAGAGTATGGATATTTACTTTCATAATCTAAATGTGTATGAGTTGGGTATGGATACCCATTTATTCGAGGGTGTTTTAATTACACATACAAAAATTGGACTTATTTGTAGGAATTCAAAAGTTTAGGTACCAAAATGTAACCCACAAAAAATTTAGGTACTAAAATGTTATGTTTCATTAAATTTTTGAGGACTTATATGCCAAAAAAAAATTATGTTATAAATCTAATGATCTATTTAGTTTAGGTACCGAACTGTAATTTGCATAGTTGTGGCTTGATTCCTTTATGATGATGTATTTTAGATGAACAATATTTATTTTTTTTATAAAACATTGGAAACTATTTATTTGAAATTTGTAGATACTTAGTCAAACATTCCATATATAATTGTTGAAAATTCTAGTCCGGTGAAAAAGAAAACTCTAAAGAAAAGCAAAAGGAATACAAACTGAAACTCGCTTAAAATTTCACGCCTTCAAATCCCATAGTAGAAAATGGCAACTTTCTAATAAGTATAACCATATATATTTATTTTTAATTGGACTCGACATTGAGCTGAAAAAGTTAGTGATACATGGTTCAATTATAAATTCTCTAAACTGTTGGTGAGTCATGTATGGACCCATTCATACTTGTGATTAAAATAAATAAAAAATAGTATACTAATTAGGGTCAGGCGAAAGAAAGCAAAAAAAGAAATAAAGAAAGGGTTATGGAAGGAGAGTGAAAAATGAAACGAAGAGAAAGTAAATGATGGAAAGGTTTGGTTATTTTTGTACTTATATTAACTTTTAAATTATTATTTTTATTACTGCTGATTTTTTTAAACATTGTTCTATTAAAATGTCATACAAAAACTTCATATAGATCAATATCTTAATGTACTCGTATTATATTTTACTAAGTATTTTACTAAGTAATTATCATTTCAAATGGATAACATATATTTTTTTTGAAGTAAAAATCCCATGGAAGACCAAAATGGTCAAATCTTCTCCTACAGCTGAGTGATACAACATCTTGCATGGTACAAACTAAATTTATATTTTGTGGATTGGATTCATGGATTGGTGGATTCGATTCGTGGATTCAAGTGAATCTAAACATTCGACCAATATGTAAATTTAAAAAATTATAGGTACGAAAAATAATAAAATTAAGACAACAAAACATAAATGTTCAATAATTTTACATTAAAATTAAATTTGGGACATCAAAATGTAAAATGTACATTATAGTGACTAAGTTGTGATTTAATTAAATTTGGAGTATCAAATGCAATTATTTAGGCAACCGTAAACCAACTTCACGTTTATATATATTAATAGGTTTACTTGTTACTTTGTGTTGTGATGGATTTAGTTTGTTACTTATTATAAGCCTACCCGAAATAAAATAAAAATTTAAATTTTGAATTCCGATAATTATTTTAGTTATCCAAATATTTTGATTATTTTTTCTGTTATTATTGAAAATAAACCGAATTAAATAAATTGAAATTTCAAAATTTATTTTGGGTTTGTTGACGTGGCAAGTGATCTGGCTCTTGACTAACGGTCAATGAAGTTGACCGTCCAATTGGAGGTCAAAACCTCGCTCGGCCAAGCAAAGAAGTATGGTGCATAGTTTGGGATAGGCCAGAGAAGCAATTTCAGAAACCACGAGCCAAAGTAGAAAGTTTAGATATAGTTCAGGTCAAAATAAAGTATTCCTTTTTGTTAAGGATAGTACCGTACTGTTCATTTTTTTTTTATCGGACTGTTCAATCTTTAACAAATAAAGTATTCCCTTTTGTTAAGGATAGTACTGTACTGTTATTTTTTTTTATCGGACTGTTCAATCTTTAATAAATAAGCAACTAATGTTTCTAATTCATAATAACTCAAGTCCATTACAAATTCTTCATAATTTAAATTCATTATCCGTAAAATCAGATTTTTTCCATATCGCAGTAGCAAACAAATGCTAAATTCCCATGATCAATTGAAGAACTTGTTTATGAGCCTTTATTGCTTAGTGCTGATGAGTAATTAACACCTTGTAAGAAAGTAGTTAAGGTTCTTACATGGAAGATTTAATCATGATATAAGTGTTATTAATATAAATTTTTTATGAAATGATATAAGAGAAGATTAAATCATGATATCATGTGTTCAATTTTTCCCCCATGAGTCTCAATATCAATAAATGATTTAAATTGACTGTTTTGACATATAAATTCAATCCATTTTAAGCTCACTCGATTGATCTGAAATATTCATTGTATTTGAACTTATGATGTTGTATAAATTTCTACCTTAAGATTTACAAAAAATAAGAACTTTAACTTCATTGTATTATATCGTATCTTTTTAAGCTCACTCACATTAGAAAAAATTAAACTCACTCGACAAATTATCAATCCAGCTTCTGCTATAAGTACCCCAAAACCCCATTTATTCAAATTCAATCCATCCCATCACCTGCTTTTCAAACTCAAAGACCATTCTCTGTTCTCCAAATCTCCTCCCACCTCACTAATCATTTTTTTAGCGACCATATTTCTGACTTTCTAGCGACGAAATTTAAATTCAAAGGAAAAAATGGAGTTGATGAATGCGCTGCCGGAAGACTGTCTCTCCTCGATCCTCTGTTTCGCTTCCCCACAGGACGCCTGCCGATCATCGGCGGTCTCCCCCGAGTTTCATTCCGTTGCCGAATCCGACACCGTCTGGCAGAATTTCCTCCCTTCCGATTACCGCCGCATTATCGCCGATTCCGTTCCCGCCCTCCAATTCTCCTCCAAGAAGGAGCTCTACCGCAAGCTCTGCGACTCTGTTCTCGTCGACGGCGGCCGAAAGGTGGGGTTTTTTTTATTACATATTTAGCTTCTTCTTTTTTTTTTAACTGATTCCATTTGGGTTTTCCCTAATCTTATATTTTGGGGATTTGCTTGCAGAGATTGAAGCTGGAGAAATTGTCCGGGAAGAAATGTTACGAATTGTCAGCGAGAGATCTTTCCATCATTTGGGGAAGTGAATCAATGTACTGGGCTTGGACTTCGCTTCCCGAATCAAGGTAGGAATTTTTTTTGTCGAGCACCAAACAGACAGTAAAAATTTCAGGGGATTCGAATTCTGAGACTCTAAAGTAATGAACTTACTCACGTGGCAATGATTGATTCCCTTTTAGATTCTCGGAGGTTGCCGTGCTGCGGACAATGTCGTGGCTCTGGATCCAAGGAAAAATCGACACCCAAATGCTAACTCCCAACACCAAATACGGAGCCTACCTCGTACTCAAATTATCCAACCGGGCTTTTGGCCTCGATCTGATGCCATCCGAAGTCTCGGTTCAAGTCGGTAACAAAGAAGAGTGTCAAAACACGGCGTACCTACGGCGACAGAAAAACAGCCACGTGGAGTTTATGGAAACGTTGATGTATGGACACCGGACGGAGGCGCTGAAGTCGATGGTGGCCGCCGGTGGGGGAGAAGGGAGGTTGCCGGCGGAGAGGGAGGACGGGTGGTTGGAAATTGAGATTGGGGACTTCTTTAGCGGGGAGAAGAGTGAGGAAGTGAAGATGGGGTTGAAAGAAGTGAAAGGCCGCCATCTGAAAGGTGGGCTTATTGTCCATGGCATTGAGATCAGGCCCAAACACTGAATGGAGATAACTCTTTTATTTTTTTTCCCCTTATAATTTATACTTGGAAAAAAGAATATAGGTTCAAGGAAACTGATTCTTTATTTGAGACATTTGCCATTAAAAAAAGTAACAACCATCTAACCATATTTAGGAACTTTTCTATATACGTTTTTGTAAGAACCATAAAATGAATTTTGGAGACCCGTTTCCAGAAAAACAACATGATCCTACTTTTTTCCATATTATTCACATAATATGTATTTAAAGAAATTTTAATATATGCAGAACATAAAAAAAAAAGTTGTGTGAAACAAGAAATTTTACACACAACTAAAAATTCTAGAGCAGCCGTCAAAGGTCATCCTTGTCACGAATTATGATTCGTCGATCCACCTCCAAGCCACAAACCAAAGACAAAAATCATCGCTCCCGCCAGAGGATGAGAAGCTGAAGAGATGAATCTAGTCGATTGGTCGAGGAAGACACTAGGAAGATCATATCTTGAGCCTCTAGATAGATAGAACAATCGATTATCGATACCGAAAAAGAAAATAAAAAGTGTTTGATCCGAATAGGACTATTCCATTTTCATAAATCTTTCCATACATCCGCTTCTCTTCATCATGCTCATTAGGCACAAGTTTGTAGGTTGGTTTTAATCTAAATCTTCCATATAGTTGAATGCCCTAGATAGTCTCATCCTCCCCAACTCAGGTTGTGGGAGTAGGACTAGGAAGGAGTATCCATTACTGCAATGAGTGACAATTGAAATACGTCGAAAGAATTACATCATGGTTCATGAGTCATGCACACATGACACAACAAAGGTAATTGAAGGATAAAGAGGAAAGCAAAAAGCACAGTGACAAAAGTCTTAATTAGATAATGCCTAGAAAAAAGACCAAAGCTAAGCTTAGCTTTACATCAGTCGTCCATCGAGAATAATGGGTCATCACACTAATCAAATAAGATTACATTTCGTTTTTTCCTTAATCGCTTAATATTTTTTGGTGGATGGGGTAGCAGTGATGACCCTTAGGAACCCTTACAAAGTGACTTGCTTTAATTAACTATTATATTAGCAGATAAAACTACTTATGCACCAAAGTAATTAACGCGTCAATGGCTTTGTCGTCGTAACAAAACAGGAAAGGAGGTGATGTTCTCTAAACTATATATATTCGATAGGTTGCGCAACATGAGAAAACAAGAGGCTTGACTCTTGAGTACCATTTACAATGGGCGCTTTTTCCAGGCAACATCGGAAGACGATCGAGAAATTCTCATGTCTTTGCCGTGGCTTTGCTCAAGAAGATCCTGAAATTCTCCATGTTTGAGGATGCAGGGGCTCGGTGCGCCCGCGTACATTTTTACTAGACTTAGTTTTCTATAGCTAAGAGAGTGGAGGTTCAGATTGTATCTCAGTTACCCACTAATTTTTTGTAAACCTTTGTTTGTTCTGTTTCCTCTCATAATAATAATAATAATAATAATAATAATTGGATTAATATCCACGTTATACAAAAACTTTACCAAAAGAAATGCCTATCTAATGTACATCCTCTCTTTTGGTGCTTATTAAACTTTAGTTAATATTAAGTTCTAATCTTCGAATTCGAAATTTCAATTGTTGTTTGATATGGTGATATGGTATAGAATCACAATTTACAACCACACTCTACGCATATTAACTCATAAATGTTCACTTAAAATGAACATTAGATGGATCTTCGAAGTTTTGTTGGAAAAGGTTAAAAGTACATGTGAATTATCAATAAGTTCATATTTTTTGTTTTGTATATTGTATACAACTGAATTATGAGATTATTTCGAGACAATTATATAGTCAAAATGAAGATTTTAATTGCCAAAATAGAGGATGTAACATAGATGCATCATGCATCAATAATAAAATTATTAGCATTATAATAGTGAGATGGTGAGTAAGGAAAAATCAAAACATCTGTGTGTTCAGATGGTGGACAGAGTTGGACTAGGACTTTTCTTCGCATGTACAAATATGGGGCGGATGCTTATCGCCGGGAGTGGAGCAAAATATTCGTGTTTGTGAAGTCTACTTTGGAATTCAATTCTAGAAGTATGGATGTGAATAGAGTTTAGGGGCCTCTACCACGTTAAATTAGGTATGTTTTTATACAAAGTCAAGGCATTGGATGAATGATTGGATATCTGTAAGGCTTCAAACAAAAGGGTCGAAGTTGCTACAAAGGCAGTTCAAAGCTGCCAAAGATTTCAGCTATGAAGATAATCAAGGATGAACTTCGAAATCGGTTGAGTGGCCAATTTATGAATCATTGTTTAGTTGTGTATATCGAAAAGGATTTGCTTCGCAACATAAGCGATGAATGTATTTTACAGACATTTCAGAACATGAAAAATCGTTGTGGTTCGTTGTAAACATGACATTGTGAACTTTAATGAATTAATTTCTAGTAATTTCTATTTAATTTTTAAATTAAAATTTATAATTTTATCGACGACACCTCTCCGACAGTTCTAGATCCACCACTGTTTACCTAAATCAAGTATGATCGGGTTCCCATAATCCTCAATTTGATTGACATCCCTAAGCGCAATGTAGTTTTAACTCTCTATTCTTTTTCCCCCAATTATATAAGATCAACCATAGAAAGTTGGAAGCAAGGGATCATAGTGTCCACTTTCAGGAATTGATTAATCAAAATCCATAACACGCCAAGCTTGAATAACGAACATTCAAAGTCGCTCTCTTAGTTTGTAATCCCATGCCATTTTTGCTTATTCAACTCCACAAGGTATTTCAATAACAAATGAAAAAATCATTGATAAAAAGGTGCGTGTTAAGGCTCCAAAATTGCACTTCAGTCACTCAACTTCTGACGGAAGTCAATCTGATCACTTCTTTTAATTTGCAAACTAGTTGCAGCCTTGCAGGTGGGTCACTTAAACTCACATTTCAGCCAGTTAAGTCCCTGAACTAATAAAATATGGTTCAAATTGTCGTGAATTGAATTTTCTCTCACGACTTCGATGTTGTTCGCCCATGCGAACGCTGCTAGGGGACTCGTTCTTATTGGCCGTTTTGTCTGAAAATATAGCTGATAAATGGAGTGTTCTTTATTCTTCTTTCTCTGCTCTTTTTTATAGTATTAATTACTTGTCTTTTGCTGAAGGATAATGTTTTTAGTTAATAATAATGTGGCCTCCGAAGTCTTTATACAGTAAACATAATTTCACAACTTCATTGACCACAACCCTCAAAGAATTTGTTATCCACAGTAACGTAGCCCGGATACTACTACTACCGTATAACTTCTATAAATTAATATAGTCGGGCCGTAAAAATTAATAATTTATAGTAGTTATTAATTAATCGATAAATTAATAATTAATAATCTGAAGAGGGTTTTCTTATAATGTAATTGTATCTTTCAAACATTTCAAGTTCATACGATATGATTAATGGTATGGGTTATCGTAACAAGATGGATATAAGTCATTTGTTGGAGTATCCAGGTGAAATGATGAATGTATCGCGACAGAAACGTTAGAAGAAATTATGGTTGATTTCATTAGGGGTTCAATTGAGGATGAAGGAGATGACGATTCAACAACTTTGGAACCGGTCACGCTAAAGAAAGCACTTAAAACCGCATCGGCTCTTAAAAGATACTTGATGCAATTAGAGAAGACAACACCGGAGACTTTGAGTGCAATGAGGAAAGTTCAAGATGAACTTTTATTAGACTTGAACTTCAAGAATAAACAAACAACTAAGTATTCATATTTTCCTAGATTTTCCTAGCTATATTATAAATTTCTACATGAATTGTATTTTTTAATTATTAATTTATAGAGTTAAAAATATATGTATTTATTTAGGTTGGTTCTCAAAAATTATTATCTTATTATTTTATTAAATTTACTCATTTTTAATTTATACCAGATTAGTAATTTATCGATTATTAATTTAAAGAGGTTATACTGTATATTGGAAAGAGTACTCTAAATTGTGGCAATTCACTTTTTCTCAATGGAGAAGTTCGAAGTGATGATTCTTGATAGTGATCTTTTAATACTATACGAACTTAGTGGAGGAGAATGGGGAGGTGGAGGGATGTCTAACTAACTATCTTAGCTTGCTCTTTTGTGTAGGAAACATGGAACCATCAGAAGCTATTTTGAGAGCAATTCCACTGAAAGTGACTCAAGAAATGAATGATGAATTGTTGAAGCCATTTATCGCAAGAGGAGATCTGGATAGTAGAAGAATTTGGAACCAAACAAAGCTCTAGGAGTCGATGGTATGATGACTATAGATGTCAATCGGGCGGGTTCGAGCTGGGTTCAATCGGGTTCGGGTTTAAAAGGGTTGCGGGTTAGTCGGGTTGCGGGTTTATCGGGTTCAGGTTAATCGGGTTTGGGTTCAAACGGGTTGCGGGTTCATCGGGTTCGGGTTCGATCGGGTTGCGGGTTCATTGGGTTTTGGGTTGGGCGGGTTGCGGGCGGATCGAGTTTCTGGTTGTTCGGGCCAGCGCATCGAGTAACTTACTCATTACTCGTTACCAACTTCCACATTTTATTACACTAATTTAAAATAGGCAAAATACACTTGTATATCCATAACTTTCACGTTTGTGACGAATATATCCAAAACTATCGGAATACACGAAATACCCAATTCCGTCCATTTTGTTAACGGCGTCAGTTGACGGTATAACTAGACTAACGGTAGAAGCCGAGTTGGCATTGATTTACCCCACCAAATGACGTGGATTATAAAGAAAAAAATAACAAAAATTAAAATACAAAAACAAAAACAAAAACAGAAAGAGAAAGAGACGGGACTAAACCCTTTTCTTCCCTTCCCCGCTGCTACTCCTCCCGGAAGAGCGACCTCCCATCTTCTTTGAATCTCCCCATCAATCTCTCTTCCAACCTCTGATCTACCCTTCTTCTTCTCTGCATCTCAGTCCCAACCTTCGATCTTCCCCCTTCTTCTTTGAATCCCCCTGTCAATCTCTCTCTCAACCTTCAACCCGGATTCATAACTGTCAGTCAACCCGCCAGGCGAGCTCTAGGCGACATCGGG